CGTACGTACCCGACTACCTTTCGTCTGGCAGGAGTCTTGTACTTCTGGCAGGATCTCTCAAGCCAGCAAGATTGAAGGGTAGAGAGGCCTGATGAAGTGCAGTTCCCTAATCCTCCTGATGGGGGAAGTTGGGCATAAGGTTAGTAACTCCAGCTCTTAAAAACCATCTCCAGCAACAGAAACTTCAGCAATACATCAAGATCTTGACTCGGGGAAAAGACCTCTTTAGGAAGAAGAATGATGCAAACTGGTTAAAACAAAACAATTCAGAAGCCAACATGCCAACTAATCTTCTGATCATGATAGCAAGAATTAGACTTAGAATCTGGAATGTTCATAATACGTATGAGACAGAGATGGCAGCTGATGTTGCTCAGGAGATGAGGAAATAAACATCCAGCTGATGGGAATTTGTGAAAGCAGATAGAACAAATCTTGGTTATCTCCACTTACAAGTGGAAAACACATCATACATTCAGGCCATGATGATGAGGACCATGACCACACAGAGGGAGTGTCAATTATAATGTTAGCTACTACTGCAAAAACCTTGATAAAATGGGAGCCTGTGTTATCACAGACCCTCACCATATGGTTCAACTCCAAAGGTAGGAAGATCACTATTATCCAATGTTATGCAAGTATAATCAATGCAAAAAGATAATGCCAAGCAAAGATTCTATGAACGTCTTCAGAGTTCTAAAAAAACATTGCCAAAAGAGATATCGAAATTCTTACAGGTGATATGAATAACAAGGTAGACCCAGATAACACTGGAAAAGAATGTGTCATGGGCATCCATTGCTTTGGAGACATGAATGAAAATTGAAGAAACTTCACAGACTTATGCTCCTTCAACAGGGTGGCCATGTGAAACAGTGTATAGTGTATACAAACTACAAGGCAACAGATGTCTTAACAGGTGGAAGGACAAAAAATTAGATCAACTATATCAACATTGCAAAAAAAATGGAGATGAAGCCTACTGGATGTTTGAGTGAAGAGAGGTGCCAATGTTGTGCCTGACCATCATCTTGTACTTGAACTCTAAAAATTAAACTGAGGACCTTCAGAAACATATTTGACAGAATTCACCACTAGATTAACACCCAGAGATTCAAAGTACAGGCAGTAAGAAAAACATTTGGTATTTCCTTAAAAATATATATTTGCTGCCCTTAAGCCAATGGATGAACACTGAACCCTTCTGAAGATGCATGGAAGAAGACATGCAGAGAGGTCTTGGGCAAGAAGGAAGAATAATATAATGAATGGCTGTTAATAGAAACTTGAATGCTGATGTGGCAATATCAAAAAGAAGAAGAAGCTCAAAACCATGTCACATGAGCATATCATATTGGTTAAGAGATGATGCATGATAATTTACATGAGAGACATGTTGGAATATAGTAATTCCAAGTGGGGGGGGGGGGGTTGCGGAAGGCCTTGTAGCATGCATAAAGCAAAAGTTCGCATATAGAGGGCAGCACTGAACCAGAACAGGTAATCTTGTGAGAGGATTTTTATGATATTTACAGACATTCCCAGAACTCAGTCATTATATAGATATTGTTATGAAATGAAACACTGTATAGTACTGTAAAGTTGTAATGACCTATTGAGGAGATATTTAAAATACCATTTTGATCCAAGCCATCCCTACATAAGCAGTTCAACCACTTGCCTGATAAAGAGGTAAAAAAAAGTGCCAGAAAAGGTGAGAGGATTCTCTGATGACCTTGTAACAAAATTAGAAGAAGCGGCAGACAAGAGAGACCTATTGACACTTTACTGAATCACCAGAACTATGTTAGGCAAAAGTGGGGCTCAGTCAAAGTCAATAAAGAACAAAACAGGAAAGATGATTACAAAGGAAGCAGTACAGAGGTAAAGAGGGGATGAGCATTTCTAGGAGACATTCAGCTAACAACCACCATTTAAAAATCCCAACATCCCACTAGCAAAATCCACACTGAATGTTGTCACCAGTCCACCAACAAAAGTAGAAACCTATAAAGTCTTGAAGCAATTAAAAAGTGGAAAAGCTGCTGGACCTAATGTCACAACCTCAGAAGCATTGAAGGCCAATCTTGACACCACTGTGGAGATGCTCCACACACTTCTAATGAAGATCTGTGAAAAGGGGCTGATTCTATCTGAGGTGAAAATCAGTTACTTAGTCAAACTACCCAAGAAATGAAACCTAAAACAGTGCAAAAACTGACATGGCATTTTGCTTCTGTCTACACCAAGTAAAGTGAGAACATGCATTATTCTCGAGTCTCAAAAAAGTGACAGACCAGAAACTGTACTCCAAACAAGTTGTGTTTAGACAAGATAATTCCTGCACTAAGAAAATAGATATGCTGCAAATAATCATGAGCAGCCAACTCAATGATCGTTAATCCTGTATCTGAATTTAATATATATAATTAGAAAAAGCCTTTGAGAATGTAGATTTATAGATCATTTGGCAACTACAACATCACTCTGGTGTGCTATCAGTGTTTTGTAACCTAATTCAGCAACTATATAAAGGTGCAATTTGCTGTGTTATTCATAATGGAAAGTTTACTGAGGTCTTCCAAATTCAGACTGGAGTGAGACAATGCTGCCTCCTGTCATCAATGATTTTCTTGTTGGTGATTGACTGGATCACGTGTGAAACAGTGAAGCAAGGCAAAGCTGGAATACAGTCATCAGTCTCACAGTTATTTGAAGACCTGTGTCTCATCACATAATAGGTAACACATGTAAAAAAAAAAACGATAGGCTGGTCATGAAAGCAGCAAAGACAGGAATTGATTGCACATTGGAAAAACAGAAGTAATGAAGATTCACAATAAGCAGGAAGAGACATTCACAATGAATGATAATAACCTAATAGAAATGGAAAAATTCACTTACCTGGGCAGTATTATGTCCACCACCACAGGTACAGATGAAGACATAAAAACCAGAATAGGTAAAGTTGGCCATGTCTTCAACAACCTAACACTAGTTTGGAACATACAGATTTTCTCCATAAGAAAACTCAGGATTTTCATTAACAATGTCAAGCACACACTCAAGAAACTCAAGACTTTCATCAACAGATATCTATAGAACATCTTGCAAATTAAGTGGTCAGAAATCATCAGTAACAATGATCTATGGCAGAGAACCAACCAAGATTCAATTACCACCCAAAATGCCAAAAGAAAATGGGGCTGGACTGGACATACCCTTAAGAAACCATGAGACAACATCACCAGAAAAGCTCTAGGATTGAATCCACAGAGCATAAAAAAGTGGACTGTGCAAAAAAAGACATGTATAAAATTGGTTGAAGATGATGGGAATAACATAAGGTGTGGTGAAGAAGACAGCCCAGAATCGTATCTGATGGTGAAGTGTTGTTGAAGCTCTATGCTCCATTTAGAGTTTCAAGGTTTAATTAAGTAAGTATGTAGGAATAGTTAACTATATGTAACTCTATAGTTGTAAGCACTAATATGCTGAAATAGCTAACTATACGTAACTTTATATTTTATTCAGTCCCTTAGGGTTTTTCAAGAGCCATAACAATACATGTAACTATATTTTAGTGTGTGTTACAATGTAGGAATAGCTAAATAAGTATAATTTCATGCTTATATACATTAATATATGTAATTTGTATATATATATATCTAACTTTACATTGGTATGCTTAGTTTCCCAGATTTATTACTTTGCCAAAAACAGTACACTCATCAGAATTATGTTGCACAAAATGGAAGAAGGAAGATGTGATTATATAATGTATGAATTCAAAATTAATGAGAAAATTGTATTTCAAGTGGATAACCTTCATTTTGGTTTAAAACCTATGTTATATAAGATCTCTTCTTGAAAAAGAAACATTCTGATAGCAAAATTTTATTCTTTAAACCAGAAACAATATTTATATTTGTTTAAGAACTTCTCTTTTGTATGAATTACAGTTTTCATTAATTATCAATGAAAATACATAGAGTGCTACCTAACATGGCTTTTTGATAAGCTCTGTCCACATGTTCGAACTTCCTTAAAAGGGACATCAGCTTCAGGTTCTCTTTCAAATACTGAAGACACTGTAGAAGAACTACTGCTTTCTATTGAGCTACTAGACCCATTGACAAATGTTACACTTTGGTGTGACAGAGGAACTGAAAAAACAACAACAAACATTTATTTAATATAATTATTATATGAAAGGACAAAAAGTGGTTGGTTTCTTGGAAGCATAGTAGAATAACTATCTTCAGTCTCATAAAAGTTAATATTTAGGAAAAATCATATCCATCTGTACCTAATTTATTAACAGTGCTTAATTTCACATCTTTATAACACCATTTAAATACCAGTCATAATCAGAATAGACATTTACATTTATTATTACTCCTAAAATACATCAAATGGTATGACTTGATTTCCATTTTATATCAGATAAAGTTTTTTTAAACTCACAGAAAATTCTGATACGAAAGATAAAATGTACAGTGAGAGAAGAGCACACAAAAGTTAATGGTCACAATTTTTCATTTGCTTGTATTCAAAATCCTTGAATCATATTCAAAGCATCTATTATGATTATGACACTTTTTTTTTTATCTGTTCACAAAATTATTACTGTGTTACGCTTTTCAAATTTTGCAACTCTTTTAGCTTTCCATTTCAATAAAACTGACTCTTTACTATGACATTCTTTATCATATCTCATAGCCTGATGTTCAAGTACTTCTGGAAGTAAAAAAATATTTTCAAATATTTTTAACAGGCCCTTCACAAGCCAGTGGGTGACATTTTTATTGAAAAAAAAACCCCTACTCAATCCGTTTTTTTTTAATTTGAAGTGAAATTTTTTGAACATTTTTATTGGCTAAAAAGAAAGCATTTCCCGCACTCTTTTAGCATTGGGGCTACAAAAAAGTGATTTGAAGTAGCAAGGTGACTGAAATCTGTCAGCACATCATGAGCTTAATGACCAAGCACATGAAGCATGGAAGCCTTCAACTGATATGCAGAAGTGTTCAGGATCTGTTTAGAACCACCTTAGTAGATACTGTACAGTAAGCCAAGTACAATATTATGCCTGTAGCTACTTTTACGGTTTTCCTGTCTGCTCATCCTACTGCCGACTTTTGTGATCTTTCAACCTTCCTACCGAATCACAGGTGAAATCATTCATATCTCAATTGAAAGCTAAACATAAAGAGGTGATAGTTGAAGTATAAAAGGCTGGCAATTGCTTAATTAATGATGCTGAGAGTGTGGCTTTATTGAGACATACTGAGTTTGCTCCTAGCAAGTAGACCTTAATACTAGCTAGTATGGAGACTTGAGGATGCTGTATTTTACTTAATACTTATGAATTAATAAAAAACTTAACCCAAAAAGATATGTCCAAAGCTACCCTATTTGGGAGTTTCCGGATTGAACTTACTTTTAATATTCAACAAATTGTAGTGTATAGACTTGGTTCCTGAGGAACATGTTAATACTATTTTGGAATTATGTGTAGAGTGTAAAGATATTTGAATATTTCCTTTTTAGGCATTAACTTTTTTTTATTTTTATAAGTTGTTTTTTTGTTTCTTTTCTAATTCTTTTTACATAAAACTATTTTATATTTGCTACTTTGTGTATCTTATATACTATAAAATATGTTCACTCTAGTAATATGTGTTAGTGGCCTCTCACTTAGATTAAGCACGATCCTGGATCAAAGGTATATAGTAACAATGTCTTTGCATTTTACCTTTCACTGTTTTTGTATTTAATCATACCAATGTACATTAAGAATCCATTACTTTGAATATTATTAATTCATACAATTAAAAACACAATAAATGCTAATAATTCACTCATACCTTGACCTGCTATCATAGACAGGTAGCTGGAATCACGGTTACTGTTAGTTTTTGTACTTCCGTTAATAACAGATTTTTGGGAGCTAGAGTGGCTAACTTCAGACACAAGAGTGTTACGACGAGGCATAGGTGTAGGTGTAGAGTTGGCCGATGGTATATCAGGAACTAAAGTGGATGTAGAGCCAGTGCTTTCTCGAGATACCCTAGCTGGAGGTGGGGAAGGAAAACCCTCACCACCAGTGTTCAATCTGTTTAGGTTTTCCAACAGAATAGAGATGAAGGGGAGATAGAGAGAAACTATCCTTGCTTGCTGGGCCTAATGAAAAATAGAATGCTGTTAAACAGAATTACTATATACATGTACAAAAAAAGTATAAAAGTTAATAATGGTTGTAATGTATACTGTATAGAAGTGGTTTCCAAACTGTGTGTCACAGCAAGTTGTTATGGGTGTCATGAGAGTTTCACCAAATGAAGAATAATTCAAAACATAAAAAAACTCCAAAAAAGTATTGCATGTGGTCAAATCAAGGTAAGTGGGTTAGGGTGTCACCAGTGATAAAAGCCACTACTGTAGAGAATAAAATGAAATTACGTAATAAAAATTATTTTTGTAGGATTATATTTTATAACATAGAACAATCAAGTGGAAATTTATAAAACCTCAAACTGAAATAAAGTTTAAACATTTTTTATCATCCTTTTGATAAAACTGCAAAAAAAAAGTAAAATAAATAATTAAAGAATGAAACACAAAATATGTGACAACAATTTACACAAATTGTAGTTCAGGAACTGCAGTTGCTCCAACCACAATTCCTATAAATACCAAAATAACTTTTCAATTTGGTCAATCACTGAATTCTAAGCTTGAGGGTAACATATATACATTATAAGTATGAATTTTAGGTAATTATCAGGTTACAAATATGAAAATATATGATTGGCAAGTGTGGTAATTTGTGGATAAATGTAGCTTGTAGTCACTTGAACTCCACAAAAGTATAAGGTTTGTAGACTTAACATGCAAAAGGACAGATGTAGTGATTTTTATGGGTGAAACCAAAGAGACAGGATGTAACAATGAAATCAAGTTGAAAAATAAAACACTTGAAGCAAAGAGTATGGCAACTGACCATCAAGTAGTAATAGGGCTATTGCAAATAACAGCAAAAGTAAACAAATGAAAAAAAAAGTTGAAAAATAACAAAAATATAGAAAATAAGTAAGGTATAACTGTATTTTATTAGCTAAGAACAGAATAAAGTAGCACACAATTAGCAGAACTAGTGAAAACAATACACAGTGAGAGGATCGGATGAGCAAGTTCCAGCTTTCTCAAATAAAAGATGGGTTATCTTCCTCAGAAGCTGGAATAAATCTAATGTGAAAGTTGCAACATTACATTCACAATAAGCATTCTCTCTGTAGTTGACCAATCAGGAAAAGAGTACTGGGATGAGGAAATATCTATCTTTTGCAGGTAAAAAATATATGCTACTTTAAAGTAAGGTATGTAGTACTTACACAGTACATAAGTACCATCTACACTTATACTTAAAAACAAAAAATAAACAAACAGAAACTCTATAAATTATTAGATGTGTAGGGATCCTTTTAGTTCTGTGTGATAAAGGATTGGCACCCAAGTTCTTTATACAGGCTTCAACAAAAATCATTTCAATTCTAAATCCTATTAAAACAAACCTTATATTCAGGACCCAAATATACGTACAGTGGTCAAAACGGACCAGTATACAAGGGTATATCATACCAGCATTTATCAGAATGTTTTAATAGGTGTGCATTTTAAAATGTGATTTCAAAATTTCCATTCTGACCACTGTATATACATACATATATAGGTGGTGGTGTTTTTTTATTTTTTTCTTACAGAACATGAGAGCTTTTGTCTAATGCTGCATGTATAGATCTAAAAAAATTATCACTTTTTAAACCATCAAATGCTTTATGTTAGGTCATTTTGCTGTAACCTAAACAAAATATCTGGAAGAGCAAATCTAGAGTTGTGTATGATTGACTAATGTTTTCAATGTAAGATTTCATAAATCATCACTTAAATCTGTGGTGCTGTATTGCTAGCCATGAGTCTTCAAAGCAAAGTCTCTAACCTTCTGTCATTGTTTAGTGCTAAGCATCTGGTTTTCACTTGTACGTTACTTTTCCTTATAGTGTATCACCAGACGTAGTACAATAAACAAACTAATTAACAACAAAATTAGGCAGTATATATATGTCCTTTGGAGAGATACAAGAAATCATGTTGTGCAGTTTATGGCAATTACTTTGGAGAAAGTTTTTAATTGTCATAAAAAGTATGGTTTTGATTATTGGCTCAACAGCTAGGATCACATGGTTGATGGCTGTATTTTTTAGATGAAAGTATTAGCCTAGAAGCTGCCAAAAAGTGCTGTATGAGCATATTGCAGGTAGGTAGGTAGTTGTAGTTTTTTGACAAAAAGCTCTAAGACTATCTGCACCAAACAATTGGTATGTGCAATTAAAAATAAAGTAAAAGATGGAAGTAAGTTGAAAATAAAATGCTGAATAGAAATGTTCCACTGGTTTTGATTTAGGGTCATTTTTTTGTGAAACAAGGTTAAAAAATTAAATTGAATTAAATTGGCCAATGGCCCATAAAAAGCTAATAACATGATCAACCAGGGCAGTGTCACTACTGTCAAAGACAAATCCCACGATAAAACATCAAATATTATGCTGCTGGTAAATATAGCAATGGAACTAAAATAAAACATGATCAACTGTGATTTTAACATAACAAAGGCCACACAGTAGCAGATTAGCCCCTTGTATAAGAAATTGATGAGTAAGGAAACTGTGGTCAAAGCAGAGCCTTATTAAGACAACTTCCTCCCTTCGAGTCCTATGTAATCTAGATGGCCAAACAACAACATAAGGCTTTATTTGGAAAACTTCTAGTGATGTTGCTCACCTCAAATCAACTGCCAACTTGCATAAAGTATCACCTTGATGACAGCCCTGAGGTCCACATAAGGGTTGAGCATGGTTGTAACATCACCAGATTTGACAGATTTTACTGCAGTTTCAGTGAACCGATTCTCACGAATACCAAAATACCTTATCAAAATAATTTCTTTTTTCTAATTCCTATGTAGTCTAAATGGCCAAACAACAACAGACGACTCTTTCTGAAAAATTTTGTGCCGATGTTGCTCACTCCAAATCGACTGTCAACTGGTGTGAAGCCTTTCCTTGATGACAGGCCTGAGTTCCACACAAATGGTAGGTAGGGCTGTGATGCTGTCAGAGCAGACAGATTTTGCTGCAGTGTCAGCAAACTCATTCTTGCAATTACCAAAACAACTTATCAAGACAATTTTCTCTCTCCAATTACTACATAAATTAGATGGCCAAACAGAAGGCTTTATTTGAAAAAGCTTCTTGCATTGTTGCTCACCCCAAATCGACTGCCAACTGGTGTGAAGCTTTGCCTCGATGACAGGCCTGAGTTCCACACAAAGGGTAGGTACAGCTGTGATGCTGTCAGAGCAGACAGATTTTGCTGCAGTGTCAGCAAGCCTATTTCCACAAATACCAACATGATTGGAAATCCATAAAAAACAAATGGAGATGGATGATAAAGACAAATGGGCCAGTTGTTTCTTAATACCCAAGAGATTTTTGTTAAGAACTGATATTAAATGATACCATAGCCTACAAAGAGCTAAGTGAGTCAGTACAGACAGTACAATGAGTATAATTCTCAGCTTCTACATGATTCAAATCAAGTGAAAAGGCTGGAGAAGCCCATAAGTAAAAATACAATCCATAAATGAACAGAACCTGAAAGTCTGAAATGAATATACCAGTTAAATACAGCACTGTTTACCACAGTAAGTTTAATGTATCTCAACTGTTCTAAAATAATTTATAACAGAACTATTTTGAACTAT